GTTGAAGGGAGTCTATCGTAGTTGAAGGGAGTCTATCGTAGTTGAAGGGAGTCTATTGTAGTTGAAGGGAGTCTATTGTAGTTGAAGGGAGTCTATTGTAGTTGAAGGGAGTCTATTGTAGCTGAAGGGAGTCTATCGTAGCAAGAGTGATTCTATCGTAGCTGAAGGGGATCTATCTTTATGGAATTATGGAGGATGATATTGTTTGAGAACCTTGTTTGGTTGTTTGAGGACCTTGTTTGAGGGCCTTGTTTGAGAGTTTTGTTTGAAGATCTAAATCACTATTCCATATCTGGCAGGGATCAATGAAGACAGGCAGCAATATCAGGTATCAGTATCCGGTATAGGGGACAGGTATCAGGTAGGGGCCAGGTAAGGTAGGGGCCAGGTAATAGTATCAGGTAAGGGAAAGGTAATAGTATCAGGTAGGGGCCAGGTATCAGGTAGGGGCCAGGTAAGGTAGGGGCCAGGTAAGGTAGGGGCCAGGTAAGGTAGGGGCCAGGCAATAGTATCAGGTAGGGGAAAGGTAATAGTATCAGGTAGGGGCCAGGTATCAGGTAGGGGCCAGGTATCAGTATCAGGTGGACAAGCCAATAAATACCCTAAGATGATGTCTTGCCAGAGGGCCAGGTGGAGCCCCATACACACCACGTCACCACAACATTGTCAATACTTTCACCTCAACTCTCCTCCTCAAGCTGGTGTTAAGCTTTATCTCACCGTTCAAGCTGGTGTAAAACTTTGAAATCTTTATCTCATCGCTCCAGCTAGTGTAAGTTACGAAAGCTTTATCTCACCGCTCCAGCTAGTGTAAGTTACGAAAACTTTATGTCATTATTAAAACTGGTATTAATTATGAAAGCTTTATGTCGCCGGTTAAGCTGTGGAAATAAAAAAAAGCTTAAACTAGTTGGTAAAGTTAATGGGTTGGTTTAATCTGGTCTATCAAGCTGGAATAAGAGACCCCCAAATCGGGTGTTGTACTTTAAGCTGACTAATTAAGCTGATAGGAGGTAACTGGTCCTTTAATTGAGTATTTTTAGCTGCTGACATAAACAGTAAGCTTTAGTAATAGAGGATGTTGTAGAAGTAAGAAGAGAAGGAAAGATAAAAGAGAATAATAATAAGAAGAACAACAACAACAATAACAAAGAAGAATAAAGAACAAAGGAAATGAGAGAAGAAGAATTAAACAAATAAAGCAAAACAAACAGTCACCAAGAACCAGGAGTGCGCTGAGGCCATCACAAACAAAGCAAAGACAAACAAACAAACAGGAGAGAGAGAGAGAGAGTAAACATCGCTAAACGCAACGAAGTGAAAGAGTAAAGAAAGAAAGAAAGAAAGAAAGAAAGAAAGAAAGATACATGGAGAAAAAGATGATGGTGAGGGAGGTAACAGAAGGAGGGAGGAGGGAGGAGGAGGAGGAGGAGGAGGAGGAGGAGGAGGAGGGAGGGAGGAGGAGGAGGAGGAGGAAGAAGAATTAGAGGAGGAGGAGGAGGAGGAGGAAGAATTAGAGGAGGAGGAGGAAGAATAAGATGAGGAAGAGGAGTAGGAAGAAGAGGAAGAGCCACAAATGAGAATAATGAATAAGCACAGGTGAAGAAAAAAGTCCACCACGCAGGTAGATCACTTGCCAAGAAAACAATTAGAACAACAACAACAAAATATGACGTCAGCATTAACCAACAGAGAGTGGCTGAGTAGATAGAACACTCGCTTCCTGACCTAACTGTCGCTGGTTCGCATCACAGGTACCTAACTTTACAGATGAGGCAAGTGAAGGCTAGCGATTGCAGTGTCTGTCTAGTGTACTTATGGGTTTTAATTTTATATTTATCAACCACTAAAAAATAAACTATGGATGTTTATTGAGAAAATTATACTGTATGTATGTATGTATGTATGTATGTATGTATGTATGTATGTATATATGTATGTATGTATGTATGTATGTATGTATGTATAACCAAAAAATAGCTAAAAATTATATCAAGAAGGAAAAAAATGCATATCACTAATAAATACAGAGGAAAAAACTCGTTTATTAATCAAGGGCGCGTCTTAACAAAGTCACACACACACACACACACACACACACACACACACACACACACACACGGGAAAAAAACCCACACACGAGATATTAATGAAAATTCCGAAGACATATCGAGTATCAATGCAAATACGTGGGACAACGAGATAACAGCCAATAAACAGAGGAGCTAGAAGGGCGGAAAAAAAATAAAAATAATGAACAGACCATAAAGGAGACCTCTTTTAAGTTAGGTAAATTGTGTGAAGAACGAACAACACGAACAACACGAACAACACGAAGGACACGAAAGACACAAATATTAACAACAAGGCGGTTCTGATACGGAGAGTCAGCACACAAGAAAGTGAGTGAATACCTTAACTTAATAATTCTGATATAATTCGTCTCTAAATCCGGGTTTGATTACCTTGAATGGCTTTGTTAATGTGAATCTAACTTAGTGATGTAAGATGGTGATGAGGAGGAGGAAGAAGAGAAGGAGAGAAGGAGAAAATGAAGGAGAGAAAAATAACGATGATATAAGAATATTACTAAAGATATTCTTAATCACAGGTTAGTAGAAACCGCCAGGTGAGTGACATGACTACCTCAGCTAGGCCAGGTCTTAAGACAACAGACCGGCGTGATGAAGGCCAAACAGTCTAACACAGTCATAGTGATTTGTAAATAAATAGCAACATAAACACCACACACTGATGGATTCTCAGAGGTTCTTAAGTTTAATTTCACTCTTAACTGACTTACGGTAAGTTTCTCTCTTAACTGAGAAAACCCACTACACGATCTTTCACAGAAGGAAATCCCACCCTCAGACCTGGATCCCCTGTACCTTGGTAATACAGTCCTCAAGCGCGAACAAAATACTAAATTCCTTGGAATTGTTGTTGATGAGAAACTTAACTGGAAAAACCACATACAAGCCATTCACAGTAAAGTCAATAAACAGTGCGGTATCACACTCGACAGTCACTCACTCTCACAGCAATGAAAGAAATCTATCATGATCTTGTTTACCAACACCTGATACACTGTCACACACCATTGGGGGCCTCTGGCTCTTCAAAAACACAATCCCTAGTTACTGCACAAAAGAGAGTTGTACGGGCAATGACCTACACCGTGCCCTCTTTGTTTACAAATCTATCAATCACTTGCTTAACAATAATTATTTCCAGTTCCAGAATAATCAGAGATACAACTTAGGCACCCAGAGCTACTAAGACCACCCCCTATGCGTTCCTCTCAGTCCCAGACCTCCATAAAATATCACGGTGTGAAGGTGTGGAACAACTTACCCCCACACATCCAAGCAAAGACTACGCTCCCTTCCTTTAAATCATCTCTTAAAAAATATCTATTGTCTAAGTATTAATATATCTTGTAATACCTACTATATTTACAGTACCTGCTTTTACTGTACCATCAAAACCGTTTTATCGGAAATTATCATGTAGGTAGATAAGAAATTACCATTGCAATAAACATATTTGCCAACTAGACATAATCCTGACCGTTCTGTCCTCTTGTTCAACTTTAATACTGTACAGCCCAGGTTGTACTGCTCCCCCATTATACTTATGTTTTTCAATTCTACTGTAATTTATGTATATACTTTTAATAAAAATAAATAAAAATAAATAAATAATAAACAAAATACTGAAGTGATAACCGTGGTAACATTATAACATGTTCTTATTACCACCATGCTATTGTACTATTCTAGATGTTACTAAATGTTACATAATACTTCCTTGAGATAAATGTATAGTATATATCAGGTGCCTAAAAGAGAGCTCAGGTTCTCAACTGGCTCAGCCATGTTAATATTGTTATTATTATCCACTCTGTATCTGTGGTTTTTTTCTCTAAATAATCTGCTTCAATTCAATTCTTAAGTTACGACACAAAGATAAAATTTCAAAACATTCTTACGGTAAATTTCACTCTTAGCGGATTTACTTAAGTTACGACACAAAAAATGGATTCTTAGAGATTCTCATGTCAAATTTTATTATCATAGCCGATTCATTTTGAAGTTGCGACACAAAAATGGATTCACAAATATTCGTAAGTTAAATTTCACTCTTAACGGATTTTTTTTAAGTTACGACACACAAAAATATTCTTAGAGATTCTTAAATTAAATTTCACTCTTAACTGGAAAATATAAGACTGTATCTAACTGGCTCACTTAAGTTACAACACAGTCTAAACCCTTAACTAAACAATCTAACTGGACCAATTAACCCACACAGGGTGATTTATTCTCAGAGGTTCTTACGTTAAAAATGGTAAAAGACTAAATCGAAAAAAAATAAACACCGGATGAATGAAGTAAAATTGACTGAGGTTCAGAATTAGTCGGTTAGGTTAGGTTAGGATTAGGTTAGGTTAGGTTAGGTTAGGTTAGGTTAGGTTAGGTTAGGATTCATTAATCAGTGTCGTGTGTGGGACTTTCTGGACGACGAATATATGACTATGCATTATTTTTAACGTGTAATATATTTAAGGTGTAAGGGGGGATGGGGAGAGGGAGGGGGTAGGAGGAGAAGGAAGAGAAATAAAAAGGAGGAAGAAGAAAAATAAGGAAGAGGAAAAAGAGGAGGAGTAGGAGAAGATGAAGGAGGAGGAGGAGGAGATGAAGGAGGAGGAGATGAAGGAGGAGGAGGAGAAAATGACTGAAAAAAAAATAACAAGGGCAAAACAAAAACGAAAAGAAGAAGTAAAAGGAAGAAGAAAATAAAAGAAGCAAAATGAAAAGATGAAGAAAGGAGAAGAAAGAAGGAAGACCCCGAAAACTACAAACAGAGTAATTAACATATCACAACACTAGAGCCCTCCACATAACCAGCAGAAGACCCAACACCCTACGACCATGTTCTACTGCACACACACACACACACACACACCTCGCTGAGTACTCCGTCGGTGTTAATATTTCTCAGGTGATACGGATGATTAACTGGTCAAGGAGGACGCTGTCAGTTTCAAGTAATAGCGCTACAACGCCTGCCAAGATCCGCTCGTGATACTCCCAAGAACCAGGAAAGTCAGAGTGTGGGTCTGGCGTGGGCTGTGGGTCTGGCGTGGGCTGTGGATCTGGTGTGGGCTGTGGGTCTGGCGTGGGCTGTGGGTCTGGCGTGGGCTGTGGGTCTGGCCCTGGGCTGTGGGTCTGGCGTGGGCTGTGGGTCTGGTGTGGGCTGTGGGTGTGCCCCTGGGCTGTGGGTCTGGCGTGGGCTGTGTGGGTCTGGTGTGTGCTGTGGGTGTGGCCCTGGGCTGTGGGGTCCTGGTGTGGGCTGTGGGTCTGGTGTGGGCTGTGGGTCTGGTGTGGGCTGTGGGTGTGGCGTGGGCTGTGGGTCTGGCGTGGGTTGTGGGCACCAGAACTGAACAGCATAGTCGAGGTGCGTCCTGACTAGCGCAAGATATAATTGCAATGTGACCTCCACACTCTTATTACTGGGGTGGAACAGGACATCGAGGACACCCTGTATAAGACATGTGGTGGAACAGGACATTGTGGACACCCTGCATAAGACATGTGGTGGAACAGGACATCGTGGACACCCTGTATAAGACATGGGGTGGAACAGGACATCGAGGACACCCTGTATAAGACATGGGGTGGAACAGGACATCGGGACACCCTGTATAAGACATGTGGTGGACAGGACATCGAGACACCTGTATAAGACATGTGGAACAGGACATCGAGACACCCTGTATAAGACATGGGGTGGAACAGGACATCGAGGACACCCTGTATAAGACATGGGGTGGAACAGGACATCGAGGACACCCTGTATAAGACATGTGGTGGGACAGGACATCGAGGACACCCTGTATAAGACATGGGGTGGAACAGGACATCGAGGACACCCTGTATAAGACATGGGGTGGAACAGGACATCGAGGACACCCTGTATAAGACATGGGGTGGAACAGGACATTGTGGACACCCTGTATAAGACATGTGGTGGAACAGGACATTGGGGACACCTTGTATATTGAAAAACCTGTCCATACCCACTGACGGTTCAAGCTGTTTTAAACAGTGACATTTCTTCAGGTATATTTAAGAGCACCTGAGACATACCAATCAAAACCCGGCCTGTTACCTGCGTGGTTACATCGGCTAAGAAGTCTTAAATCGGTTGTGAGGTCAATAACGAGAAGACTAATATGGGTTCTTGGGTATGGAATGTCAGGATCAATTCTAAAAAATACAAGAAAATATTTCAAACAAATGCAAATATTAGTCAACGATTTACTTCACTCAGCCAGTATTAAGAAATTCTGAACAACAAATTAGATTATTCCTGTATTCCTGTCGTCATATTTCATCAAACTCGCTGGACCTCAAACGTTTATTTTCCTTTACTTTTCACTCATAAAAAATTAAAAAATAAACTTGATCACAAAGACAAGTTATATTAAATTTCTGACAAATCATTGACCGCCAGACCTTGACCACTGCTGCCGTGGGTATCTCCTTACCAGCGCCCGGAGGTCAGAGAATGCATCTGGCTAATGGTAGAGTATCGGTGTAATTTCGACTCACTTTAGGCCAGCATTTTTAGTTTAAACAACCCATTAGAACCGGGGCCCATTAGATTTGTGGTCCATTAGTATCAATACCCATTAGAACTAGGGGCCCATTAGTATCGGGGTCCATTAGAATTGGGACCCATTAGAACTGGGACCCATTAGTACCAGGATCCATTAGAACTGGGATTCATTAGAACTGGTGCCCATTAATACTCGTGCCCTTTAGTACCGGGGTCCATTACAACTAGAACTCACTAGTACCAGGGCCCATTATATCTCTAACCCACTAGAACGTAGACCTATTACCACCAGGGCCAATCAGAACCATTACCACCAGGGCCAATCAGAACCTATTGCCACCAGGGCCAATCAGAACCATTACCACCAGGGCGTACTAACACTTTGACCTATGACCACAATGAACCTATTTACGATGAAACCCACCTGGCCCACCCATACCTTACCGTGTACCCCAAAAGGCGTTCCCCCTACTCAGGAATTATGGGTTCTTTAATCTTGATCTAAATGAACCATCAAACACCTTACCGACTCCCCCGAAACCAGACTCGGGTTCGGCTGACTCGGGTTCGGGAAAAAATCAATTAAAAAAACAATTCGTAGATTCTGTCATGTAAAGTTTAATTTTCCACCTAAATGAAGATAATATGAACGCATCTAAAAACTGAACTCCCTTGAACATAAGATATATACTGTACACACTTGGCGTTCAATATGGCCTCAGAGTTATAGAGTGACTCGAGTGTAAGTGTATGGTGGTATGCCCTATATTGAAAACAAACTTGAACGTTAAGATCTGTCAAGAATTCGGATTTTGGGGACGTCCTTTATGATCAAGGTGGACAGGTAGACGGGAAGAGAGGTGTACAGGTTGAAAGGTTGGACAGGTGAGAGCTGACTGTCAACCGTTTTAAGATAAGGTGTGAAAATTGGCCTTCCCAAGACTGTTTTAAGACTTTTTACGTCTTTTAAGACTTAAAAAAAATCCAAGACTTTTACAAATTTTCTAAGACTTTTCAAGATTTTCCAAGTATTCAAAAAAAAAATCCAAGACACTGAAAGATTGTCATGTAAAAAAATCAATCTCACAATATTTTGCTCTATGTGTGTGTGTGTGTGTGTGTGTGTGTGTGTGTGTGTGTGTCGTAACGTGAGACAAAACGGACACACGAACAAACTAACAACACAGACAGACAGAGAAAGTGGACGATCACAATAGACCTTCACATCTTTAACTTAACAAATATTTAAGAACAAAGGTTCACATCTCAGAAGCACTGACCACAACACAAGCAACGAAGATACTATCACTTATCAACAATTTACATTAAATATGTTTCTTGACACGAGATGATATGGAATTTATGTTAATTTAAAGTGAATAAGCACGCGAGGCTGGCAAAGAATGTGTGTGTGTGTGTGTGAAATTTCAGGTTCTCAGTTCAAATAGGACCGTTTACACTTCAACAAATCGTAATTCTAGTTAAACTCGTTCAGAAAATCCTACTGTAATTTACCATTATTGTTCCTTAAAGGTAAAAATGTACATAACCGGTCATATTATCATATTTTGGTCATTTGGTTACACAAAAAAAACAGTAGAGTTAAATTATGATTGAATATGTACACTTTATTATTTTTCGTTCACGATTATAAATCATTTTAATTTCCTCATCCCAGAAGCTTAATTAATATTCCTTTTGAATTTTGTTCCTCAGGAGAAATATTAACAAATACTTAATAAATCAAACAGCAAAGCGAATACGAAATTACAATATATATAAATAAAAAAATATAGAATTTCTCGCTAATTGTACTTCAAATACATCATGTTTACACAACTAGACTACTGATAAGATACGACTCAAGAGGAAAATCAAGCGGACTTTGATAATGACGAACGCAACTTATGGGTGAAAATTGGACAGCGAAGATCCGTGTGAATAATTGTTAGTGACCTCCCTAATTCCCGGTCACGTGGGAACTCAGGACGTGCCCTCCTGAGGTCACAGAGGTTGGGACCCGACTGCACAACTTGGAATGGGGAGAATTGGGTCCTAAGCGGGGTAGAGTGACGTCGCGCGTCTTTCCGTCCCCTGATTGGTTGATTAGGACAACTGCCAGATGTCGTCAACTAGCGTCGATATTTCACACGATTCTACTCTTTCTTTAATTTCTAATATAATTTTCGTTCTCTGTGGTTAATTTCGAGCTTAAGATGGATGAAATAATGGGGAAATCCTAACGAAATTGTGGAAATATGAGTGAAAATTGTGTAGATGCCCATGGTTGGGGGGGCGGCAGCACTACCCAGGGAGCCTCGCTAGTATCGCGCGGGAGACAGCAGCAACCCAGCCGTATTTCCTCAGATAAACTCAAAGTGAAGAGACGTGTGTGGACTGTCCAAAGTGCTCGACACCCGCCAGTGGATACCCACAGGAATAACTACCGTGTGTACCCGGCTAAAATAATCCCCGAAAATTAATAACACAATCTCGCCAGCTGCAGAAGAGTTTGTTTTAACACCTGTTAACGTGTTAATGAGTGGTGCTACCTGAGAATTTTAACCGATTGAGTCTTAGGAAACCTAGTAATGCCTATCACCCTACCTCACACAACAGTAATAACACGAGAAAAACAAAGAATGTGTGAAAGCTAGTAATATGCTATTAAACATCAATTAAAACAGTAAAATAAAAGAAAAAAAAAAGAAAAAAAAGGGGGTTTTGTTTTTGTGAAAATTAAATTCAAAATCAGGAGATCAGATGCGAGGTCTCCAAGTGGTGGTCAACTCGGGGCTTCGTGGCGCCGCGATTGAGCGCCTCTAAAACCAGACGACGTGGAAAGAATGAAGTTACTGGAAGTGCCAAGCGATTCTTGCTTTAGTGCACTCCGGCTAAGTGTTGGTGGTCAAGTGCCCTTCAGAACAGCGAGTGTCTATCTTGGTTCATCGCGTGTGTCAGGGAGAAAGACACACTTGCGAACTAAATGTGGGAGCCCGTGAGTTAAATGATCTTTATTAGGTAAGTCAAAAACACAAGCATGTAATTTTTTTTTGGGGGGTGGGGGTGTTGTGAAGCCAAGATAGTGTGATTTTCTTTACTATCTTTTAAGTCTTGCTGCCTTATGTACACTATACCACTAGATCCCCCTCACTGAGTTCCTGGCTCTGATTTCCACCTTATTTCATAGTCGTATCTCTGATGTCGCCGTAATTTTTAGTTGATTTATCTGATTTCCCTCCCATTTAAATTCCTGCGTTAAGATACGCTGAAAGAACGGCGGTGTGTAGTGTCTATCGTGAGAGACTGGTTAAGTAAACCAGTGAAGTGGTTGTATTTAAAGCCAGTCAGGTGATTGCGGTTTGGTTTAAGCCAGTCCGATGGTTCTGGTTTAAGGCAGCCAGGTGCTTGTAGTTAAACCCAGCCATATGGTTGTGGCTTATGCCAGTCAGATGGTTGACTTAAACCAGCTAGTCATCCGCGGCGCAGGAAAGGCATGTCAGTCATGTTATAAGCCAGCCAGATGGTGGTGGTGTACGTCAATCAGTTAAGTCATGTCTTAAGCTGGCCAGGTGGTGATGGCCGGGAAGGACCACTCACAAGACAGCGGCTTACCTAGCTACTGTGTGTGTGTGTGTCGGGCCAGGCTGACGCGAGACATATTGACACACTTCTTGCTTCCCTTTTCCTGGGTTAAATATATAATCAAGAAAATTCATCTCCCAAAACAAGACGATTGGAAGCTTCAAAAGAGTCAGGTGTTAAGCAGCCGCCATAACTCTGAAGCTTTCACTGACTCGGGAACGCTAACACTTACTCGAGACCCGTGGAGTAAAGTTGTTTGCACTCATATGTTATGTCTGCAACCCTCCTCCTCCGCCTCGTCATTAAAAATCTGCGAGCTTTATAACACGGTGTTTGATAGAGTCGGACGCTGTGAACATAACTTAGTGTGTAAGTCGCCTTGGAACAGAGCGGAGTGATGGTTGGCATTGTTGTGAAGGTTGGCCGGCTGTCTGTACGGGGATTGGGTGAAGGTTATAGCCGTGTGTTTGCTTCTGCCTGTAGAGGATAAAGTGGATGAAAAGTCCTTGGTATTCCCGCGTTAATGAGAATGTTAAATAAATTTCACACAAACATTTATTTACGTGGTGGAACATCATAAGGGTGAGAGTTGAACCCTGAGGCACTCCAGCATGTAACGGGGATGTAGGCAGATAAATTTCATGGGATCGTTTATGTAAGATGTGAAAACTTGACCTCAATACGACTGGGGTTATAGAGCTTTGATGTTCCCTAACCTTTGTGAGATTAAATAAACTTAGCATTTAGTAAACTCTGAAGGATCAAGGTAAGTGATTATAGTATACAGCAACAGTAAGAATATAAACGAACACGAGTAACATTGTACAACACATGAGAAATTAGTTACGGTAAATCTGAATGAAGTTAATTACACTACAGTATTTAAGCGCTAAGAATACAATGGGAGCCCTGTTGCCTCCCTGAGAAAGAAGAAAAATCATATACAACCAAGTTTACTTAGTGCTCAGAATACAGTAAGGTTAAGAACATACCCTTGGGGAACTCCTAACCTCAATGGGCTTGTAGTTAAGACACACTTCAAGTTGGTGAAATGTGTGGGCCAGCCATGGGTCATCAGGGGAGGGGAGAGCTGCCGTGTGAGTTAACTTATCCACCCCAGGTGTTGGCGCGACGGAGATAGAATCGAAACTTGTTTCAGAGTCTCGTGTGGGGAATCAATTAAACGTCTGTCTTTTATTTTGTTTTTTTACCGCAGCGGCAGACGTCGACTAACTAATGAATTACTTTATCCCACCTCAACCCCTTACCCCTCTCTGCCGAACCTCACCTCAACCCCTTACCCCTCTCTGCCGAACCTCACCTCAACCCCTTACCCCTCTCTGCCGAACCTCACCTCAACCCCTTACCCCTCTCTGCCGAACCTCACCTCCACCCCCTCTCTTTCTCTCTCCACCCTTCCCCACCTCGTGATAGAGATTAATTATCTTCTACATCAACCGTTGATAGATGATGCTATCGGCAGGCTGGTCAGAGAGAGAGAGAAAGAGAGAGAGGAGGGGGAGGGAGAGAGGGAGAGAGAGGAGAGGGAGGGAGGGAGGGAGAGAGAGGGGGGAAGGGGAGAGGAGAGGAGAGGAGAGGGAGGGAGGGAGAGAGAGAGGGAAGTATATCGCCACTATGTCTATTACAGTATATATCCCACACTCTGCGGTAATTTATCGTAACAGCTGAACGGAAGCATAAAGTATGGCTGTTTCCCTTGACCCGAGCCACGAATTATTCTCTACGATAATTGGTGACACAAGGAATGTTTTTGAGAGAGGGTAAAGGAGGGGCAGATGCAGGCCGGATCCTTGGCCAGGTCGTCCTCCTGACAGACTCGTGGTGGCCGTCACTGACACCACCACTACAGTACCATCCACCACCTATCCCCCCTCCTCCTCGTCCTCCACCACTGTCGGTTTAGTAATCAAAAGGTGGATCACTCGTCTGTAATAATACTATCAATTCAATTTACACCATTAGTGATACACTGTGCATTTTACAGCACCAACCAGACGTTGTACAGCTTGCAAGGCACTGTACAGTTTACAGCAGTAATCAGACGCTGTACGGTTTTGTAACAGCATCAGCCAGAGGCTGTTCAACTTGTCAGCAGCACTAACCAGACGATGAAGTCCGAACCAGCTACTCAACCAGACAGTCGACCTTCACAACGTACTCTCGCCCTGCTGATGTGGCTGACTCGCTCTCTTGACACAGCAGGAGGGAGAAAGCAGGCAGAGAAGCACGGGGTGTTTCTAAAGCGGTTCTGCTAGTGGGTGATGGAGGCGGGAAGCAGTGAGACGACCAGCTGCGTTTAAGACTTAAGGCCACACTTGGAGGACACAAAGTTGACAAAACGTCGATATGAGATAAACCACTCGAGGGTAACAAATGTCTCAGGTTTAGAGTGGCACTTGAGATCGTGCTTGAGGGTGAGGTTAAGAGTGGCACTTGAGAACGTGCTTGAGGGTGAGGTTAAGAGTGGCACTTGAGATCGTGTTTGAGGGTGAGGTTAAGAGTGGCACTTGAGAACGTGCTTGAGGGTGAGGTTAAGAGTGGCACTTCAGAACGTGTTTGAGGGTGAGGTTAAGAGTGGCACTTGAGAACGTGCTTGAGGGTGAGGTTAAGAGTGGCACGAGAACGTGTTTGAGGGTGAGATTAAGAGTGGCACGAGAACGTGCTTGAGGGTGAGGTTAAGAGTGGCACTTGAGAACGTGTTTGAGGTGAGGTTAAGAGTGGCACTGAGAACGTGCTTGAGGGTGAGGTTAAGAGTGGCACTTGAGAACGTGTTTGAGGGTGAGGTTAAGAGTGGCACTTGAGAACGTGTTTGAGGGTGAGGTTAAGAGTGGCACTTGAGAACGTGCTTGAGGGTGAGGTTACGAGTGTGGGTTAGTCATGGCTAAATATGGACGTACCATAACTATACGCCCGCCACCCATGTCTAAAACACGTACCATAACTAACGCCCGCCACCCATGTAAAACACGTACCATAACTATACGCCGCCACCCATGTCTAAAACACGTACCATAACTATACGCCCGCCACCCATGTCTAAACACGTACCATTACTATACGCCCGGCACCCATGTCTAAAACACGTACCATTACTATACGCCTGGCACCCATGTCTAAAACACGCACCATTACCATACGCCCTGCACCCATGTCTAAAACACGTACCATAACTATACGCCCGCCACCCATGTCTAAAACATTACCATAACTATACGCCTGGCACCCATGTCTAAAACACGTACCATAACTATACGCCGCCACCCATGTCTAAAACACGTACCATTACTATACGCCTGGCACCCATGTCTAAAACACGCACCATTACCATACGCCCTGCACCCATGTCTAAAACACGTACCATAACTATACGCCCGCCACCCATGTCTAAAACACGTACCATAACTAAGCCCGCCACCCATGTCTAAAACACGTACCTTAACTATACGCCGCCACCATGTCTAAAACACGTACCATAACTATACGCCCGCCACCCATGTCTAAAACACGTACCATAACTAACGCCACCACCGTTCAAAACACGTACCATAACTATACGCCCGCCACCCATGTCTAAAACACGTACCATAACTATACGCCCGCCACCCATGTCTAAAACACGTACCATAACTATACGCCCGCCACCCATGTCTAAAACACGTACCATAACTATACGCCTGCCACCCATGTCTAAAACACGTACCATAACTATACGCCTGCCACCCATGTCTAAAACACGTACCATAACTATACATGCCCGCCACCCACCCATGTCTAAAAACACGTACCATAACTATACGCCCGCCACCCATGTCTAAAACACGTACCATTACTATACGCCCGCCACCCATGTCTAAAACACGTACCATAACTATACGCCTGCCACCCATGTCTAAAACACGTACGATAACTATACGCCCGCCACCCATGTCTAAAACACGTACCATAACTATACGCCCGCCACCCATGTCTAAAACACGTACCATAACTATACGGCCGGCACCCATGTCTAAAACACGTACGATAACTATACGCCTGCCACCCATGTCTAAAACACGTACCATAACTATACGGCCGGCACTTAATGCGTAGTCATAAGAGTTACCTGAAAACAAACTTATCTCTTGATAGTTACGTGGATGGTGATAACCTAGTCAGCCAAGACACATTCAGTCAGTCAGTCAGTCAGTCCTCCAGTTAACCAGCAAGCCAACCAATCAGTCCCCGGCCTCACAATTACCAGACCCGTGTGGTTCTACACTGCTAAAAGATACACAGTGTTACCAGACCCGCGTGGCTGTACACTCTTTCATGGTATACAGGTACAATTTTATTTAAACCCCTTCAATTTTTCACTGTTACCAGATCTACAGTGTTACTTGACCCACTAATATTCACATTGTTACCAGATCTACACT